ACATCTGTATAGCTCACGCGGGGTGTTGAACTCACCGGGACGTCGCACAGAGTGGACGAGTCGAGGCGAGCCGGCGGCGTCCGCGCCGCGTACCAGGACGCCAACGCGGTACCACTGCGGCTGTGCACAAGGTACGCGGGTCGGCGCACTGAGCGCCGAGTCTCGATCGCGGATCTGGCTGCGGGGACGCGGAGACGCAGGTGCGGTGCGCGGTACACGACAACGCGACGCGGCGCGTACAGAGCGTCGCGGGACGTCTCAATAGAGCTCGCGCAGCGGCGACCGTGCTGTATGCTCGTAGGTTCGAGCTCGCGGCGTCAAGTCAACTTCACTTTGCATCTGCCAGACGCGCGGGAACTGGCATCGGGGACAGACAGGCCGGGGGCGCGGGCAGAGGAGAACGAGATGGAAGGGACGCAGGGGAAGGGACGCCGAGGGGAGGGTGCGAAGGAGGTGAGGCGGCGGAGAGGATGGGGAGGAAAGAAATTGGTGCGCACCTGGATTCTGTCTTCTGGAGTCCACCTCTCGCATTCATCAGCTGCCAGGGGGAGTAACGGGCCGTACTCGCCGAGCCGGCGGGCCAGGGAGCAGAGGAGGGCGTCAAAGGCGAAAGGAGAGTCTCGAGGTACGTACCTTCGTTGGCCGTCGAACGCGCTGCCAAGCTGAGCGCCTATTCCGACAGGCGTCGAACGAGAGACCGCGGCGGCGACATCGACACCTACATGGCGTCCGCGTGTTCTGGCGTGGACAAGAAGTCGAGCGAGGTGGCTTCCAGGACGATGCAGACGCGATGAGAGAGCGGCGAGGGCGGCGAAGTGACGGTCAGCGGGTGGCAGCAGACGAGTTGAATTCCAAAGTCGAGTCGAGCAAGTGTGCGCCATGAGTCGCAGGTCAGACCGGGCGACGTAGATAGAGCAGCATATACGAGGGCGAGGGCGAGCAGCACGAATACAGCAGGAGGCGGGGTCGTGGCCAGAAGCAAGGAGTGCCCGCGCGACGCTCGACGTGTTTCGTAGAAATAGACGCCCACCCTTCGATCGCGAAACTCAAAGTCCCGTACCACTGCAAATATATTCCGCGGCCTACTCTACATGCGTGCCCCGCCGTGTACTATACAGCCCAGTCCACTCCCTTACCATCTCGCTCGCACCGGTACATTCGACTCGTACCCGCCGGCGTCTGCCAGGACACGAGGATACCAATCGCCGCGCCCCCACCCGCGCGACGCAGCCGCCGTCCGCCTCCGCGCGCGCGACGGCCTGCGCGCCGGTCGTCCTCCGCCTTCCGCTTGCCCTTGGTGTTCACGGGTGTCTCAAGCACGGACTTCTCTGAGACGGACCTCAGGCCAGGCTCGCTTGCAGTGCGCGGTGTGCGAGGAACGCGTACGGGAGTGGGCGACTCCGGTGTCGTCGGAAACGCGGTGGATGAGGACGGACCAGCCCTTCCGTTTTCTTTCGAGGTGGACGTGGTGGGCGTGGATGGCTCGCTGACTTGGGAGATGCGTCTGCTACGAACCCTGACGTGTGTTCCTGCGCGCGGAGTGATGCTGGAGCCCTTTTTGTGCGCTCCCCTCGTGTCGCTTGGTTGCCTATTCAACGTGTTCGTCGCATCTCGTGGTTCTGCCATCCAGATATGGCCTTTGCGCTCGCAGAAATCGGTGTTTGAAGAACGCGATAAGTTATCGGGAACGCCGTCGCTGCGGTTCTCCGCTGGTAAAAATGAAGATGTTCAATCGCATGCGCGATGTCAAGCCGATCGGTCTGCTCACCGTCTAGCAGTGTCGGCGATGGGGAAAACGGCGAAGAGGGGGGTATAAAGTGGGATGGAGAACAAGGCTCGAGCGTTTCCTCAGGCGACGCATGCTGGGCATGAGGCCCGGCAGCGGCCGATGGCAACAACCGCCCATCGCCACGCGACAGCCCCCCCGCCGATTCGCTCTCTCCCTCAACCACCGGCTGGACGTCTTGTGAGCACGACGTATTACTGTCCGCATCCTGGATGCAGCCATGAACATTTCGACTCACCGCCTGCTGATAGTGCAGTGCTGACGAAGAATGGTACGTTTGCATGAGACCAGGGCGTCTCTCTGGAACGTGGTCTGCATGATCGGCACCGCTCCCAACCTCAGATCCAGCTGGAGATCGCGATCCGTCCATGGTATGGACAGATGGCATGACGAAAAGTAGGTCGCTCACGGGCGCGGTGCCCCGAACGAATGATGAAGACTCGACTCGTATGTGGGAGAAGTTTTGTTGGCTTTGAGGGTCCTTGCTACTGTTTGCGGCTACGGATTCGCGCGAAAGCTTTGACCGCATGGGTGGCGAAGGTAGGTTGGGTTGGACTGGGTGGGTAGGACTAGGCCTTTGCGTGCCATGGCTTGCATGTTCGGTACTGCTCCTGCTAGTGACCTCAGGGATGGGTATGAGAGGGGACAAGCTGAATGCGCCGGATGTCGGGGGGCGATCGAAACTCTCCAAGATGGATGGCTCGCGCAATGCTGGACCAACGGAAGTCTCAGTGGTCGGACTGAGCGATTGTAAGTCGTTTGTTGTCTCGTCTATGGGATCAGTGGCATGGAATGTGGGCACAGCGGCAGGTAGGTCATCCAGCGATGCGGCGATTTGGAATAGGGACGAAGACTCATCATCGACCCCCGAAGGAGACCTCGCCCGTACATCGGAGCAGCTTTGGCCACCGAATGTATGAGAGGGGGATTCCTCGCTATGCGATGGATTTGACTGCGTAGCTTGAAAGCGTTCGAATGATCGAGATCCGTGCGGGACAGACGGCGCAGAGGCATGACCGCTGCTCATAGTGTGTGCATTCACAGAAGACGTTGAAGTCAAGTTTGAAGCGTTGTGAAGTCCCCCTGTATTGCTGGAGGAAGCAGCATAGACCGCAGAAGAGCCACCGTGAGAGCCACGACGAGAGTGAGCGAAGCCTCCGTACGGCAGGTTCCTAGGCTGACGATGTCGGCCAAACGTCGACCAGGGAGTAGT